GTGTATCAATGACACACGAGAGTGTCTTAATGCCATACAAGACCACACAGGGGTGTGTCGATGCCCCAAAGGGTGCGTCAGCCCCACACACCCAGTGTATCGCCCGGCGTCCTCCCATCCTCCCGTGATACGCTCTCATGGTGGTGTGCCCTACCTGTCAAAAGCGTTCTGAGCCCGTCATTATATAATGGACTCTGTAGAGAAGCCCGGTCGGTCAGCTCCGCAGAATTATTAATCATGGTGTTCGATGACGTCGTCAAAATCAACGACCGAGAAAGCGCCAAGAGGTTCTGGATTGCATATCGGGCCGGAAAGCGGCCGGAAGCGGCTCCCCCGAATTTGGATGACTTAGTGAATGGAAAACAAGTACTCATCATGGCCCACTCATAACGGCCCCACAATCTACCTCCCATTGGGAAGCTACCTCCCATTAAAAAGGTTCTGGCGTCCATGTCTTAGCACCTAGGTCTTAGCACTGAACCCTCTCACTCATTGTGATCAGACTGCCATCCCGTCCTAGAACTGTACCTTAGATATACATGAATCAAGCCATGGATTACCTTGAGCTGCTGGATTCAAAGTCCCACGAAAAAGCCCTTCAACTACTCCCTCACTTGCGGTACATGCTTCCCATCCTGCCGGACACTAGGGACTGTCGTCAACTCATACGAGAAATGCAAAATCTTAAACTCCTACTCGTACATTTCAAGAATACACAACGACTACAACCTTTGTCAGACGCCGCCAAAGCAGCTGGGTAGCAAACACTGTCTCGAAAGACCTGTGAAATGAATTCTTTTCAGGCTTTATTCCAAGGCTGGAAAAATATACAACGTTCTACAAGACATCAAACGTGCTCGGGACTTGCGAAATACAGTGATCCGTCTCGAGATTAAAAATGTGAAGGTATGCAGCCAACATTATTTTGAAACGTTCATGGTCTGACCCCGTTGTGATTCCCTGTTATCGGTTTTGGTCTTTTGTCCTCACTCCGATCTCCATTTTG